TTGCAAAAGTATCTTCTCTCACCTTGGCAGCTTCTAATGCTCCAATTTCTTGTTTTCGTTAATTTAAGGTTTAATTTATTTAATTTAACAATTGCTTTTAAAAAAATTATCATCTAATAATTTTAAATTTTAATATCTACAAATTTTTTTATTTACAAATTATCTTTAAAAAATCATTATTTTAGAAACTTGACCGAACTTGCCAATTCAACCTAATTGTGGTTGAGCCGCTCAAGACCAGAAATATTAGAGAGAAAATGCTGATGAGCCGGGCTTCCAAGTTGGGTTTGGGCAATAACTTTCGGACTTTCGAGCCCAAATTTGGTCATGGATGAATATGCCCATTCATTCTTTGTGGCCTTAATCCTTTCGCTTCGTCGTGCTTCTTCCTTCGGGACCTTCAATTTCAGCAGCTTCCCCCCAAAGCTGCCAGCAGCCAAGCTTCCGTAAGCGGCGACTGAAACGTGAACGTCTCAACCGACCCCCTTGCGACAGGCAGGCCAGTATTGCCTCTCTTCCTTTTGCTTTCTATAACAATGGGTGCAAAACAATAGAATGGTGATGATGAGATGGACGAAAAAGTAAACAAGTATCTTAGAGCAAATGCTGCTAATTTGGCGGTAATGAATGCTTGTAGTTGGTTATTTCTTGGTTTACTTTTTTTTTTTTAATTTTTTCATCATTTGTTGTTTATTTTCTGCAGGGATTACATGGCAAAAAACTAAAGGGTCAACTTGCTGTAAGAGAAGATTTGTATGGAAAATCTGCAAAAGCTGCTGCCAAGATTGAGAAAGTGAATCCTTCTTTCCTTTTAACAAATGGGTTCTTTTTTATTAAGTTACTTGTCTGTTGGAATTTGATTATTCTTAAATTTGCCATTTTTGTTTTTTCAGTGGCTTTTACCAAGTGAGGATAGCTACTTGGAGGCAGAAGGTATTGAGAAACATGGAAGATCAAGCAATAATCCATTGCTCGCGAGATCGTTATCTTCAGCTCAAGGAACCAGTATGATATTGTTTTACCAGGTGCCTACATTCCCAAATATTCGTAATTTATTTCAAGATATTATTATCATTTGTTTGGTGACAAGTTTTTGAAGAAGGTTGTAGTGGTTTAGATTATAAGCATTCTTTTTCTACATTACAAGCTAACATAACTAACCAGCCTTTCTAGGAGTTTTGACTGCAATTTTCTAGATGTATTTTGTTTAATTGATGTTAGTCGTAGCCTCTTTTTTTTTTTTTTTTTTGAGTTTTATGTTTTTCCTTGTACTCATTAGTTTTCCCTCTACATGTGCAGAACTTGGTCCATACACTCCAGATTTTACCCCAAATGGTCGGTATGTAGCAGCTATTGGACGCAAGGGCCATCTGGATATTGTTGATGTGAAGACATTAAACCTAATTGAAGGGATTCAGGTATGCACTGCTCCAACAAAAATCAAATTTTATAGTTGATAAGCGGATGTTGTTTCTTGTGCCTTCAGCGATATTGTCTTATTTTACATCTCAAAATTTCCCAATTTAATGTTATTTATAAGAAAAATTGACCTATGCTTTGATCTAAGTCTTCTTGGGGTTGACTTTGGCCTATGTTTGCACCATGGGGTTTTTCTATGGTTTCAATTTAATGTCTGTTCTTGAAAATGAGTGTCATGTGGAGCGATTTTTCTTGTAAATCATTTTACAAAATGAATGCATGTGATACATGTTTTGTCTCTCATTCCTCCCATTTGTGTGTGTGTGTGTGTGTGGGTTGGGGGGGGGGGGGGGGGGGGGCTTGATTAGCAAGTTTTAGTTTTAGAAAATCATATTTAAGATTAAATGTTCAAATGCATCTCAGCTGGGAGAATCTAAAATTTATTAGATTGAATTTAAATCTTTTTAGAACATACGGCAGACAAATTCGTGTGAACCATGCAATTTGTTGCAAACAAGTGTCTTCTTTTCTAGTGCAAGACCAATTGGTTCATTCTTTGGCTCTTGTATTTGACAATCATCCTATACCTGTGGCATCATCTTGGTGTGAGAAATCTGAATATGCCACTGAAGCTCTTGTTTTTGTAGACTTCATGGTAAAAATTTATTTTCATGATGATATATTTAAGTTATAGAAGTAGACAATTTTAAAAGGATATAGGCTAATTTTGTTAATGTGCATATGTTCTTGTCATTGCATTTTGTGCTTCTAAGTCCTCAGTAGGTAGCATCTCTAAGGTGCGTACAGAACTTTGCAACTTAGACCAAAGTAGAACTTTGATCACATGCTTTGAATGTTATATAAGTGGTTGATAAACTTGATATACTGCATAAGAATTCTATCCTGGGGATTTTATTGCTAATATAGAAATATTAGCAAAGTAATAGTATTCTAAGATTATACAATTAGGTGGGACTTTATTGGAGTAATGCAGCTAAGATGCTAATTATTTCAGGTACCTTTATGTTTATTTATTAGTTTTTTGAAACGAGGTACCTTTATAGATTTATAATCATCATGGAACTGAACTTCATTGTTTAAAGGTCAGTATGCCTTTCCATGAATTGTTCAACTTAATGAGTTGTGCATGGTTTTTCACCATGTATCATTTTCTGGAAACCAGTTAAGTGAACTCTATTTCATCTATGTTCTTCTTATTCTCCTACTTTTGTTTTTATACTTTTCTTTATTGGACAGTAGGAAAAATAAATGCTTTGATGGGGTTATCCAAACATTGCCAGGCCATGCAAAGACCTTGAATTTCAGTCAGAAAGGCTTGCTTGCTGCTGGAACTGGCTCATTCGTACAAATTTTGGCCGATTTTTCTTGATGTCAGAATTATAGCAGATATATGACTCATTCTATGACAAAAGGTTACCAGGTAGGAGAAGTTCTGTTTCAGCCATATGAAGATGTTCTGGAGATGGGGCATTCCATGGGTTGGTCTAGTATTTTTATTCCAGGATCAGGGGAACCCAACTTTGATTCTTGGGTGTGGCAAACCCATTCGAAACATCTAAACAGAGGTGAGAGAAAGAAGGGCGCTATCTATTTGACAAGCTTCCCCCTGAAACAATCATGTTGGACCCAATAAATGTTGCTACAGTGAGAGCAACAAGAAAGAGAAGCCAACAAAGGAGGAGAGAGAAACTGTAATGGAAGCTGCTGTTGCAGCTGCCAAGGACACGGACTTTAAATGGAAAACAAAGGGAAGGAACAAACCAAGTAAGAGAGCAAAGAAGAGAAAGGAGATTATAGATAGAGCCAAGAGGCCTTTCTTGGAGCAACGAATAGAGTAAAAAGAAATGTCTAGAAAGAAGCCAAAAGCTAACATGGAAAACAGAAATGCCAAAAAGTTTGGAGCAGTTTGTTTGTCAGAAAGCAACTTAATTATGGTAAATCTCATTGCATTAAACATTCTAAAAGATAAAGTGTTCTTTTTTTTTTCCTCTATTTTTTCCACAATTTTGTGCTCATGTCCAAAAAAGTATTGGAATCAGGAGAGACCTGAGAAGTGTATGCTTTCTGTTCTATACATATAGAAATGGAAGTTGATTTTTTTTTTTTTTTGGTTCAATGGCTTGTTTCCTGCATTTAGAATGGAACCTATATTGTATATGTAGAACCAGAAAACCGGTTTGCATCTTGTGATGAGATTTGGCTCGGGTTTGTGCTTTTGGCTTTCAAAACCAATTTGAATTGAGATTGGATTTCCACTTTCTAATGGTGGATTTGAGTTTACTTTTAGTATCATGTTCTACACTGCAAAGATATGGTAATCATGTTCTATCTAGAGGAGCATATATAGCTCTGGATCATATTTTTTTAGTTTGGTGGTTTCAGTATTAGGTTTGTCCTAAAATGTTTTCAATAACTAGGATGGAATTTTTTACATGTTAATATCAATGTTGTTTAGTTCTTTCTATTCTTCCTACCTCAGTATTAACTCATAAAAATGATCGAGTCAAAGTCAATATAGCAGAAGGGTTTTTTTGTCCATTTACTTTTTGGTCCAGTAATTTTCCGTGAATATTAATTATAGAGTAGTTGAAAAATAGTGAAAGGAAGTCGAAGTCGAAGGGTCGAACCATATTTGATTTAGTTTTTCATGTAACTTAAAAGATAGCATTCAGTAAATTTATAGTTCAAATCTAAGTGCATGCAATTTTTTTTTTTTTCAAGCTACAATTTTTTTTGTATAAAAAAAAATTTGTGAAAGGAAACCAGATACATGGCAAAGAAGAACGTCTTATAGATTCGGAACACAACTTTTTGAACCGAGTACCCAACCAGAATGCCATGATGATGTTGGAAAGATAAGTTGAAATTTAAACTTAGAACTTGCTTTTGGAATAATTACATGATTGACTGGCAAGCCTTTAAAACGAGTAACCAAAGTGCCTGCGAAGTTCTAGAACAAAAGTAGACACATGTTCAGACAAACAGCCTAAAATTTCAGACAAACCCATGTTCAGTTGTTCACAATCTATACTGCTATGTCCAATATCTTACTAACTCAAAACTTGTGGCTCTTCCAAGTGGCCCAGATGCACCTGGTCTAGGAGTCTGCCTATCGGACCTTACAATTGTTTCTCCTACTTTTCAAATTTCATATAATAACTTCCTTAAATTAAACTGTTAAAAAAATTCAAAATAATTTGAATATGAAAATTTAAAATTTATATTATTTACACTCAATCGTCAACAAATTATTTTTTTCTATTTTCAAATTCGATTGGTTTAACGATGGATCAATATTTTAACCTAACTTATCAAATTAAAAATTTTAGTATCAATATTTCAAGAATAAATTTAATTTTTCAAAAAAAAAATTTTTATCCCATTTTAATAAAAAAATCATACATTCTTTCTCAGTAATTATTTTATTCTTTATATTATAAAAAAATATTAAAACTAAAAAAAAAAAAAAACCAATCATAAGGCTGTTGCCGCAATCTTCCTCGATGATAACTAAAAGTAATTGAATTAAATCAAATACTAGTACATGGAAGTAATATTTATTCAAAACATTTCCTTAGAAGAATGAAGAAATATAATAATTCATCATATATTATACTATATATATACCATAGGGTTACAATCATCTCCTCCGAGTGCTCAAGAAAAGAAATTACAAAAAATAATTACTGTATGCTATAAGTTGAAGGAAAGAAACTATCATGTCAAAAAAAAGGAAAAAGAAAATCAAAGTTGAATGAATGAATACGAAAAATTAAATGAAAGAGTTGAAGATGGGGGAAGGAAGGGTCAAATGTGGCAGCCACAGCAAAGATAGAAGAAGCAGAGAGTGGAGACAAGAACAATGGCTTCCACAACATAAAGAACCCTGAAAACCAAATTGTCAACTATTTTCATCTGAAAATTAAGAGGCTTCCACTTGAAAGCTGAGGAGAGTTTCCAGGGCCAAAAGCTTTCCTTTCCCACCACTTTCTTCAGTAACCAATTCTTCTTTGCCATCACCAACAACAAATAACAAGGGAAATTATGAAGAACCTGCACTCTCTCTCTCGCTATCTGAGTTGCTTAGAAAGAAAAGGGAAGCTTAACGAATAATATATACTTATATGCGGGGGAGGGATCAGATGCACTTTAGTTTCTTCAAAAAGAAGGGCGCTTGCTGGCACAGGCAGGCAAACGAATCGCGGGTGGGACTAATGGAATTTTAATATTCTAGTTCTAGTTAGGTTTATGGTCCTACGGCAAGGTTGTATTTGCTTCTTGCCTTACCGTGTCTCTTTCGTGTATATAAAAAGAATATAAGACTTCTAGTTTTAGAACAGTTGTGTGGTTAGTACTAAATTTTTAATTTTAATGATTAAGAAACTTTAATAATTTCAAGCATTAAAAAAAAAAAAAAGTATAAGACTGTTTCTGGAAGAGCAATATTCTTCTCTTTTGTGATATTAATTTCATTTGAAAAATGCTGATCAATATGTGTTTTTTTTTTTAGCGACCAGTGTTTTAGCATGAGTGGATTTTAGGCATAAAAATAATACATTAGCAATAAAATAAATGCTTTATAAAGTTTGCCAATTCTAAAAGTAATCTCAATGTGTTACATCGTTTGATTGTGAAAGTTATAACTTTTAAAAATAATAATTCAATGTCTTAGTCTCTTAGGTTCAAATTATTTGAGCTAGTATTTTTGGGACATTTTAGTCATTTAACATTATCATTTTTTTATCATATTTTGGTTAGTAAAGAAATGAATTCACTTTTCTTATCAATCAATGTATTTTTATGAATAAAGTTACAGAAATAAAATTTTAAATAACATAAAATTTTTTTTGAGGACCATAGTTTCTGTCTAATCTCTTGGATCCGTCTAAGATTGGTAATTTAATTCATCTTCGACGGGTTTCGATCTGATCCGATCTTACGGGATCAATTTTTTTTTTTAAATTCGGATTTCGGTTCGGGTAAGATTATGAAACAATCGGGGTCGGGTCATGTTTGAATTTTAGGTAAATCCGATCCGATATTATATAAAAAATTATTTTTTAATTAATTATTTAATTTTTTATTTATATATATTTATATAATGATATTTTTAAATATTTATATTTAAAAAATAATATTTTATTAATTTTGAGTCGTATACTGTTTATATAGTATTAGGTTGAGATCGGATTTGAATATGAAAAACAAAAAAAAAAAACTTGAGTAAGGTCATATTCGAATTTGATAACATATAAAGTCGAGTTGAGTTATTCGTCTCGAACCCAATCCGATACCAACTCTAAGTCAGCTTCTGATTGTTAATTTTCCAAATCAATAGTTTTGGAGTTAAAAATGAGAATTTGGCATCCATCAACTGATCAACTTCCTTTGCCAGCTAATTTTTCTCCTTGTTTTTCTTCTGATTCTGTAACGGCTCAATTATAAAAGTTGATAATATGATAATAACAAAGTTTGACGTCAATACTCGATAAGAACCGCAACCAAACGGTCAAATAGTGCTAATGTCCGTTACTTCCTCACATTTAGGTAGCTTTTTTTTTTTTTCTTTTTCTTTATTCACAATCTTTATTTATTTATTTATTTTTTAAAAACAGTTTGCAACGGCTAGCTAAAGGTAAGACACTTGGATGATTAAAAACCTTTATGGAATGCCGGTCCAATTTTATTAATTTATATTTAGGTTGGTTGATAGCTTTATGCGTGCAAAGGGCGAATTAAAGTTGTTTCCTCATTTTCCAGGTCACTTATTGATTGCAATGTGGAGATGGGATGACTTAATTTGTATTATAATAATCATAATTATTCTTGGAGTTGGAGGAAAACCGTGGGGCCTCGACTCTGGATTCGGGATCCCCCAACTACATACCGAATCTCATTTGGTTTAAGATATGAGATGATATGAGATTTGGAATTATAAATTAATAATCCTGTTGCTAATGATTTTTATTTTTTATATTTTAATTCTTTAATTTCGGGCCTTTCGTCCATTTTTTTTTTTATAAAAAGTTTGTTCAATTACTATAAGTAATATTTTGAGAGAACGATAAGAATTAATTTAATTGATAAAGAAATGAATTTTTTTATTAAATTTGATTTTTATGAAAAATATTTTTAAAATAAAATTTTGAATATAACAAATCCACATAAAAAGTGTATATTTAAAATCGGCAAAAAATCCAAATAAAATAAAATATCGAGATAATGGTTCTCGCTGTGTTATAAAAGTATAGAGAAAATAATAAAATTGAATCTGCCTCACTGTGTCCAACTGTCCGTGCATGAGTCATGGCTGAAGTCTGCAAGAATTAATGTCATTTTTTATATTATGACAAAAAAGTAATTGTTTTATTTAAGGAAAGAATTAAAGTAAGTTTAACAACCAAACGTCACAAACATTCTATTAAAATTGGGTTTTTTTATTTTATTATTTTTAATCGAAGTCCCAATTAAACTCCCAATTGATTGTCAAATGGCAGCCAATTGACAGATGTTAAACTTTATTCTGTTGATTGCTTGATTTCATCTTAATTAATTTAATTTAACATAAAAAAAAATATTTTGGGTACAACCAAAAGATTGGGAGAGTCTGTCAGACCTGTGACAATTCCAAATAGGTAAACACCATGTCGGGATCAATCCTCTACTGCTCCAGTAGGGACCAAGAAGCTGTTAAATCGCGCTCAGCTCACAAGGTCATAGTTCATCAACCAGACTTGAGATCTTGTCTCCTTTGTGCTAAAGGACACAAAGATACAAGTTTATAAAACAGCTTTTTTTCAAGTAATTTAAAAGAATTTTGTTATAAAAAAAAAATTTTAAACCCTAAATCCAAAACTAAAAGTCCAGGATTTGGAACCCACTGCCCAATATCCTCAGTAAAGCCCATAAGAACCCACCCCTAGGGCCGCTGACAAGCTTTGCAGTTGCTATTTTTTCTCGGATAAGTTAAACAACCCTGTTGCCTTTTAGTGAGCCCGAAGGGTTAATCAGATTTGTGTTGAAGGTTGTAAAGATGAGACAATGGAATTGAGAAGATGATAGAAGGAACTAGCAAATTACAAGAAGAAAAGACTCTTATCTTCAATTTGGGTATCTTTTCTTTGATCAAATCAAATTTCTGTGAATGTTGATAGAAAGATTAAGATTGTTTAAACAACAAGATTTCTGAATTATATGACCTGTAATGGTGTCAATGAAGAGGCATATTCTTTCATACCATATATAACCCATAAGAGAATATATATATATATATATATATATATATCTTTCTTCTTAAAACTATCATTGGAGGCATCAATCAAACTTCCCAATCAATGCAAAAGCCAGAACTATCTGGCCATGAGTTTATTTTATACATGTTTTTACTATCACTTATCATTTCTTTAATATAGGACACTATTAAAAGTGAAGCCTACTAAATAGTTTTTTATTCTAGTGAATTTTTGAAGACCAGTTTGACATTGCGATTGGCTAAGCTTTTGCATTAATACACGTAAATTGAATAACATAGCAAATGATTAATCACTGAGATTGATTTTTATTTGCCCATTTTTTTCAAATGCGGCAACAAGCGAAGCAATCTCCAAATTCAGTACATGCATACAAATTTTGAGTGTTGCTGAATGCATTATAGTTTTTTTTTTTTAATTTTTAAGTAAATTTATTTAATTACCTTTTTATTTTTAATATTTAATTTTTTATTTAACACATCACTCACCTTAAGCACAATCAAAATTTTGAAAATTAAAATTTCTGAAAAAATTTTCAAAAACTTAAGTTTAAAAATATATGTCTAAAACCTTAAAATTCCTAAAGGTTTAATTCTAAAATATATATCCGAAAAGCATTTAAAAATTTTCAAAAAAAATTTTTGGAAGTTTTTAAAAATAGATTTTAATAAAGTTCTTAAAAGTTTTCAAAATTTATGTTCAAAAAGTTTTTTGATTTTTCAAAAATTTATTTCAAAAAAATTTATAAAGTTATAAATATTTATTTTCAAAAATTTATATGAAAGAGAAAAGGTAATTAAGTATTTTTATTTATAAAAAATTTAAAATTTTGAGGTATGAAAAGAAAAGATTGGAATGCATTTAGTAGCACTCTAAATTTTTTTTATTTGTGCCAGAAATTAAAATTCTATTTAAATTTTGATCATAATACATCAAGCAATTAAATTAAGTATAAAAATTATTTAATTTATTAATAGTAAAATTTTTTAATTTTATAAATAATATGAAGATGGTAATAAATATTTCACTTCTTTTTAAATTATTTTTTTATTTTTTAAATATACATTAACAAATATGCGTTAATATCTTAACTTTGTTTGTAAAATTAAAAAATTTCGTTACTAACATATTTGATAATTTCTCACTAAATATTCGAGTATGTTACTATATTTTTATATATAATTTAATTAACTTCAATTTTCAAGCATACATTTATAATGTTGGACCCTTATAGCGCCAACTATTAATGTCTCTTTCACTCACAGAAGTTAAATTTTAAATTTACATTATTGCTGCTAATTATCACACTTTTCAATTGTAAATTACTTTATAAGGGATTGGATCACTATTTTGTAGGGTTGGTATCGGGTCGGATTCGAGACTGGTTTTGCTCGTCTTGAACTTGACTCGATTTTATATTTTATTAAACATGAATTAGATTTTATCCGAAATTTTTTTATTTTTTTATATCTGAACTCGATCCGACTCGATATTATGTAAATCTACCCGACTCGATCCGATACGAATTAATAAAATATTTATTTTTTTAAATATAAAATATTATTTTTAAATATAAATATTTAAAAATATCATTATATAAATATATATATAATTAAATAATTAATTAAAAAATAATTTTTTATATAATGTCGGATCAGGTTTTAGGTAAATTCGACTCGATCCGACCTCGATTGTTCTCTAACTTTATCTATCCCGACTCGATCCGAAATCTAAATTTCAAAAAAAAAAAAAAATCTCATAAGGTCAAGTCGGACCAAACCCGTCGGAAACGGATTTGATTGCCGTCCCTACTACTTAGCATAATTCTACTAGGCAATGATATAGCAATATATATATATATTATCAATATTGTTGAAGGCTTTTTTTTTTTTTTTTCACAAGGAAGTAGGATACTTTTTAAGATGAATTAATTCCGAGATAAAAAGACCAAAAATATTGTTATTAAGTAAAATCTATATATCATTGAACGGATTTAAAAATTGTTGCAAAATTAATAATAAAAAAAAAAGTTCAAAACGAGAAGTATTGATTCAATATACAAAATCTAGTTTCACGATGAACATGATAATTTTAATCTCTTTGTATAATCTCTTCGAAAGTAGTTATTAATATTTTATGAATGGGGATACATTTTAATTCTAAGATTCATTTTAGTACGGACATTGATCTTAAACCTAGGCTAGGATGATACCACAAAATTTGCCTTATTCTTTTTTTTTTGTTTAAAATTGTTTGAATTTTTTTAATTTTCATGAAGTTTAAATAAATTTTGATTTTAGTGTAATTAATATTAAAATTTTAAAATTTTTTATAAAATTGAAGTTTAAAGTTTTTAATGTAAAATTTTTTAAAAAAATTCATGAAAAATAATTTTTAAATATAAAAAAAATTAAAAATTTTAAGTGTTAAAAAAATATAATTCTGAAACATATCGAAAAAAAGTAAAGAAGAGGACAGACTTATTTCTTATAATTAATATACTAAATCGAAAAAAATCATACTTATAATATGTTAATATCTAATTTATATCACATAATTACTCTTTAATATTAAAATATCTCTCCCTTTTTATCCCCTGTCCTAATCTGTTCGTACATCTCGCCACCGCCGTATTTATTAATTATTTTATTACTTTACATAAAACCCGAAAGGCCAAACACTGAAACACTGGACAAAAAACACAGCAGCACTTGAAAACAAGGACAAAGCTCTCTGCTCTCTTTGTCTGTTGCTTTATGTGTTAGAGGACTCTGATACAAAGTGGCAAAGAGATATCTTCTCCTCCTTGGCTCTCTAACTTATTTTCCTTTTGGCTAAGAAAATAAACAAGAAAAGAAAACCATTCTTGTATCAAAGCAATGGTTAAGTGCTATCCTCTCGACTTTCTCTTTGTAAATATCGCTCTGGCTTGCCTTAATGCTCTTCTTGCATTTCTTGCCTTCTTTCAGGTTTGTTTGGTACAACCTTTTGCTTTTACGCTGTGTTTGTGTTTGTTAAGAGGTAAAAAGGAAGGAAAGAAGGTTTCTTTCCACCCTTTTCGTCGTTTGGAGAGAGTGGATTTGAACCTCTCCCTTTCCTCTTAATCTAATCTTTCTAAATGTCCAATTTTCCTTGCTCCATTTTCCTTCATTCTTATCAAAGTGTTAATTAATGCATTTGGCTTCTGTGATAGCGTAATTAGTTCATATGGGTTTTTTCTTATTTTCTCTTTGAAGGGAATTGAGTGATGTTTGCTCGATTGGGGAATCTGGGTCTTGCTTGGTTGCTCAGAAAATGTTAGAAAAACATATAAATGTATAGAATCTTACAGGCATTATTTGAAAATTTTAGTTTTAAAAAATTAATTCTGAATTCAGTACATTTCAGCTTCTGGACAAATTGATTAATGGCTACTCCTGGTCCAGTATTTTTTGGAAGGATAGGGAGAGAGGAGAGCGATGATAGCCTCCTTCTAATATACCCTATTGAGCATATTCCTTTTTTTTTTTTTCTTCTTAAAAAAGGTTTTGTATTAGTGAAGATTTTGGCTCTTCTTTCTATTAAAGTTTCTGAAATTTAAGTTTTTGTTGGTTTCCAAGCAATGGCTTCGAATGCAAAGGCAGTGAAAAGTGAACCGATATAAATATTAGCTATGTTGCTCCGACTCTTCATTTTCTTGGAACACTCGTGCTCCATACATATCCAACCGACATTCATATATTCAAACATACATATAGGACCAACATTGGTATGGAGATCCGACCCTCCAAATATGTGAAAAAAACATAGAAAAAATAGAAAATATCCATGTTGGACCATAAAATATCTGACACTCATCACTTAGTCTGAGAAACATCGAAAATTAGTACCTGAAAGTCTTATTCCCTAATGGTTCTTGACCTCCAGTTGAAACATTGGGGCATATGCCTTTCAGGTACTGCCTTATATCTAAAATTATCGAACTTAAAATTTTGATAAATATCAACTAACATTTATAATAAGCTTGAGTTAATCACATTACATGCCTTAAAAAGTATTATAAAACAAGAAGTATCTTCATAAATAATTGAGTAAACAAGTCCATATTTTTTAGTTTGATTTTCTCAGTTACATTCATCAGAATTGTTCTTTTCTGACATATTGTAGCTTTTTTTTAACCAGCTTTCTCGGATTCACCTGCGGAATCAACAAGTAGGATGGACACGTCAAAAAGTAAGTGGGATTTTCTAATTATTTCACTAGTCTTTTGTGATTTGCTCAGTGTGTGCCTGTGCATGTGGTTCTTCATCTGTGAACCTTGGCTAATAAAATTTCGGTTTCCACTTCCTAGAGTGCACGGAAGGAAATCTTAGATACTTGGGTTGAAGAATGTGGATTTGATAAATGTATGGGATGTCATTGTATTTCATGATGCGTCCTTAATGCTGATTTTTAGTGAAGCATAGCCCTTGATGTTAGATACTGTAAAACTCGTAATATACATTTGACATCAATTAGGATAGTCTGTATTGTCAAATGCCAATCAGATGAAAAGTGAAATTTTGTTGATGTAGAATCAAATTCTGAAATAAAGTTCTATTGATAAGAAATATGAAATGGGGAAATCTTGTATATAATGAAAACATAAATCTGATCCTTTTTGGTAATGATATCCTTCATATGTGTATATGGCTTTCTTGATTTTGCCTTTATGTGAAAAAAAGGAGAACCAAATAAAGAAAAAGCTTGCCATTCCAAAAAGAATAGAAAAGAAAACAAGAAAAAAAGCTACCCTGACATCATGGTGATAACAAGTTTGTATTTTGAATTCTCTTCAGTTAAGTAAGCTACAGAAAGGAATAATTTTATTGCTTTGAATTAGCCAGAGCATTGTTACTGGATGTGGTATTGCAGCATGTGATCACTTCCCCTCGTCTAACTATGAATTAGAAATGTCTCTTTTTTGTGTGCTAGACATCTGATTGAGCAGAATTGTCTTCCATATTTTCTCGTTTCTTAACTTATTGATCTCTTTATTCTCTTTTGCATCAACTTATTTCTTTTTATGGTCTCCTATATGCATAACAGAAATCTTGAATTTCCATTCATTTCATGATAATACACATTTTTGTTTTCAATATATTGTACAGCTCAATTTTCACATCTTCTGTCCTGTGATTGTTGTGTAAAAGCAACGATGTTCTTTGACTACTATGTTTATGATTCTTTTCCTGTCTATTGATTACCTATAATACCTTTTTTATTTTTGCTAAAAGAAAATTCAATGCTGTTTTCCTTTTTTTTTTTTGAAAGAAACTATGTTGATGGAGCAAATGCTGATTGCAGGTTCTTCATCTCATGATAGGCTCATCTAACTGTGGTAAGAGTAAGACTAAGATATTGAAAAGCTGTGGTCTATAGTGGGTTTTCTGTTATCTTATTAATTAAACTAAAAGTAGCATTGATCTAATTGGAATAGATATCTAGTATTTTAGAAAGGATATTTCATTCATAGTTCTGAAGCCACAATATCAAGTACCACTTTTTCTTGAAGTAGAAGCTACTTATGAATTGACATGGGTAGGAGTTCTTCTAAGATGAAGAACATGAATTTACAGGATGATTGTTATGAATAGGTTTAATTCATAATATGTGCTATCATATTTTGGAATGCCGATTATTGGGATTTGATTTGATTGTCTCCAACCAGGATTCATCAAGAAGACTAATCTTTGTTGGCCAACCTAACAATTTCTCAAGTTCCAAGCTACAAGAAATATTTTATGCCTTCTTCTTCTTTTTGTAAAATAGGATTCTTTCATCCTTGACTTTCCTAACAATATCTCAGGCTTCCCTTTATGCCTTTTTTTTTTTTTTTTCTCTTTTGTGAGTAGTATTCTTTCATTGGTTGCAGCTCTCATTACAGCCAACTTAAAACTTTTTTCATGTTTCTCTCAGTCCAACCTTGTGCTATCATTCATTTATTGAGAAACAGTGTGTAGGCCTTTGAAAGTTGGAAGCTTATCCCTAGCACTAAAGATGTTCTACATCACTCAGTCAAGGACATTTTTTGCTTGATTGCTATTGGTGTCTCTGATAGTTCTCACCAGAAACTAGAAACTTGTAATTAGTAATCCTCCCATTTCCTTATGTGCCGTTGTCATCTGCATAATCATGCATTTTCTAACTTATCCATACACTTGATTTCTACCGTATCCCTTCTCCATACCAAATGAGACTCTTTTGAGACTTTCTGACCTAAAAATTCAGTATTGAGTGTACCTGCTTTTTCTGTTCTTCTGCAATGGAAATGTATGATCCTCCTCCTTAATTCCTTCTCATTACTTTCATGCATTAACACTTGAACCTTTATATGTTTGAATCATTCACATTTTCTTAGGTACTGCTAACAAAACAGCAGCATTGTGAATGTAAAATCATCTCTCTCTCCCTTTATTTTCCTGAATTAATAATATTTGTTCTGCTTCGATGTCTTCAATCCTGTGAAAAGAACTTAACCCTATTCTTTTATGTGGAAGCCATTCTTGAGGGTTTGTTACCTTCAAAGTGTTCTAAAGAAATCCGAAACCAATTCCTTGGCGCTGAAATGCAATAGTACTAAAATGTTTAATAATTTCTGATATTTTCTGCATCAGATAATTATCTTTGGATTTGTTTTGTCTTCTGACAGGTTATTTCATTTATTTTTTGTGCATGGTTGTTGCCACATGCAAAAGGTGGCTTTGCTGGTTTGATGTGTGTGGCTTTGTTCTCATGGGTATGTTTCTCCTGAGTGACAACAACTTATATTAACTTTCGTACTTGCTTCTAGAGCCTTTTTAATGAGATTGTGTGTGGTTTAATGGTGAAAACATTACTGCAGCCTTCCCCAAGATTCTGTTTTTGGCCGCATTTCTTCTTCTTCTATCTTTCTGGTAAGTCTGACCATGTCTTAGCATTTTTTTTTTCATTTAATTATTGATCATGTAAAATTCTTGTCTTTCAACATTTAATTTTAAATACCATATGCTTAAAGGTTTTTAATCTTTTAATGATTTTATGATTCATTAGAGTTTCTTCTACTATCAGGGTCTTTTAAAAATTAAGATAAGGTTGTGCCAACTTGAACATTGTATAGATCCTATTCTACGTATACCATAGTCAGTAATCAGGTCAATATTCAATACTCCCCCAATCTCAAATTGAAAGCCATATTTTCAATTGTGGTATTTCAAAACTATGTCCTTCTATGTTGAGGTGATGCTACCTATTAGTTTATTATAAGGGACAATGTTATCTAGGAGTAGTTTATGTGGCACATTCCTACCTCAAAACTATAATTGTTTGTAAGTAACCCTGAATGGATAAGGAAAAAATGCTTTAGGTAAAGCACTTGACTAATTAAAATATATTTCTGTGTCAGCACTTCTGCAAATTCCTTCTCTGTCTTGCATTGCTCTCACACTTCACTAGTTTATTTGACCATTCCTTTCAAGAATGCCACATAAGCTGATCTAATGCAGGTCATTGGACCTTGACAACATTAAGTAGTTTTTTAATAGTTAATGGTGGTTGAAATTTAATAATAAAATAAAATTAATTGATAAATATAGCTTTATATGTCCTGTAGGTTACTAGTGTTCATCATAGAACTAAAGCTAGGCATTAGATGTCAAATTCAAATCAATAGTATATTATCAAAATGCTCTCATGTTGAGTTTACATGAGAAATTGGAAAATACCATGGTATTGTCAGTCATGTATTAGAAATCTTATTTCTGTAAAATTAAAAAGAGTTTATGAAGGACATGCAAGTAATTGTTTTTTAAATATAAGACATTTTTCGAGGAACTAGTGTAGTGTAATTTATAAGGTACATATATGCTTTTATGGGCAATGATTTTATAGGGTCGACCTTTGCCATCAGGCAAATGATGAAGAGGATGGTGATGAAGAAAATAGTAATCAGCAGGCTTTGCTGGAAAGTTCAAAGAGCAAGGCAGGTTTGTCAAAGACCAATAGTCGTTGGAAATGTTGCTCATTCCAAGGCATTCATGTTGGTAGCAGACAAAAATTTGTTATTGTGGTATGAGTAGGAATAATTTCTATTTAAGATGCAATCTTATCATCAATGGAGTTATTTAATTTTCCTTTTCCTTCTTCTTCCACCAGGTCATTTTGCTCAACATCATCTTAATGATCTCCTTTGCTGCAATAATCTGGATTGGTGCAGGGAAGAATCCTAGTGATTCTTTAGTAGTTGCTCGGGTATGGATCATATTACTCCATAACTATGATATGGTGATTATAACTTTAAAATATCTGTTGATATATATATATATATATATTTCATATTAAGTCCTTTGTATTTGATTTTTATTAGAAGTTGCTTGCTGTACAACCTAATGTCGTGCTAGATTATGATGTTTGATCAAACAATAAGGTCTTAAATCTTAATGACATTGAAGAAACCTCATTTTATTATTTTATTGGTGAAGATGGTTTTCGAAATGTAACATTATGACAAAAAGGGTCCCTGGTGGATTTGAGAATTCAGATCTTATTCCTGCGATAGTTTGTTTGACAGGCCATGTGACATCTTATGATATATTTTGCTGAAGCTGATTGACTGTCCTTTTTCAAATGTTTATTTTGTTTTTAGTGGTTCTTTTTTTAAAAAATATTTTCCAATTCAATATGGGCTATATAATTGTAAATTTTCATGACGAATAACCCAAGGCTTGGCTGTGAATCACCTTGCCACAACTCTGTCTGGCTGTGGTTTAGCCAACCCCGCATCAATTTAGGTTAAGCTTATTTAAACGGATATACTGTTAACTTCCAAGTTATGACTGATACCTTAACTTGCTGTTTCTCTGGATAAGTATGTGTGATTCCTTCGATTTGTATATTGGATTATCAGTGTTTCTTTATTGGATCTCCCATATGCTAATAGATATCAACCTAGATATCCAATTTTAATGTTTTTTTTTAATGTCTGCATAGGCCTTGATGGTTTTAGTAGCATCAGAGCAAATGATGTTCTCTCAAGATTGAAATTGTGAATGCAAATTTCTCTGATTGTTATGATTCATCAGAACTAAATTCTATATTCAGGAAAAGAAACATTTTTATGTTTTCAGTGTGACTAGTAGTTATTGTTACATGACTACGATTCTTGTGCAGGTATATATAGATTTCTTTGCCATATCAGTACTTATTCTGGGTGGAGCTTTCGGTTGCTATGGTGAGAAATGACTTCTTTTGTTATTTTGTTAATACTATGCATGTTTCAAGCTTTTCTGCTGTTATTATCTTTCCCACTTGGATATGGGTAAGAGTGCATTGGTTACACTATGTTTTTGAGAACTTTACCTTTGAGTTCATGCTAGTAGAATAAGATGGAATAAAGTGTACTTTTTTAAAATAACCATTTGTGGCAATGACTAAGTCTCCAGAAGTGTTAGAGCCATAAGTTAAATATTGAACTTATGCAAACCATTATGCATGAATATAATTTATAGATCAAGTGCTTAAATATAATGTTCAATGCTAATTTAAACACTTTCAGAAATTGAAATTGAAAGACTGTTCAATGCTAATCAAGTGCATCAAAAATTTCAAAAACAATTCTTTACATAACTACTTTTGATTTGTTAGCTGGGGTTTTAATTGTGTGCCTTCACCTATAAAAGGTTGACCTCTTTCTTGAACTTTTTTCTTTCATTGTTTTTCAGGTTTCCTTCTATTTTCCAAATTGAGGAGAGTAAGGTCCGAGAAAGCTTCATCAGAAATGTGGAAGGTTTGTATTTGCTATCTATTCTTTATTTAGCATTGTTTTTGTATGTATTTTTCTGGGGTGAAACAGAGTATGGATTTCTTAATGCTTAGGTATGCCAAAAACACATTATTAAGAATTAGGTGTTAAATAATTTCAAAAAGTTCTAGAAGTTTGTTACACTTTGCAGGTGGTTGGTTTATCAGTTGTTTCTGTCTTGGGTTTCACATCAAGTTCTTTAATAGCTCTTCTTACAGATATTCCTGTAAGTATTTGATAACTTTAAGACATTGCCATGTTGTTAAGATCTTTTTTGTTTTCCTGAGCTAGGCATGTACTCTTTCATACAGGGTTAATTTCTTGCTTCTGTTGGCAGATTTTTCATAATTGGAATCTGAAGAAGATAAATGGAGTAAAAGCACTGGTTCTGCTCATTTTGCACTATGTGTTAGGTATTCCTTCAGTCTTCTGAAGATCGGGTTATAATATGGTTTTGATAGTGATTTTTTGTCCATTTTAGGCTTTGGTCTGGAGCTTTATTCACTTTAGTCTATTTTAAAGCTAAATATGTAATATTAAGTCAATTTGTGAGGTCTATTGACAGGTTCATCAGCCCCCTTTGCTTTTGTATTATGGTTCATGAGAGAGCTGCCACCTCCATCCACAAATAATAGGCAAGAACAGCCAAGAGCACTAACTTTTATCAGTTCTGGAGCAGCAGGAATGCATCATCATTGATCCTGGGCTACTGCAACAAGTTCAAACAATTAGGTATTTAAATCTATTGGCATTTGCTGTTAACTTCTTAATATGCTAGCTAACTACTTAAGCAATGTTGAATTTTCAAAAGAACTTAAATCGCTGAAATATTTAGATGGCGAGGAAGAAGTATATGCTGATTTCATAAGTTATGATTGAAATGATACAAATTCACTATAAATCTTCGCCTGCATTTGGTAAAAACTGGTATAGACATGTAGCAGTAAGCTTTCCATTTATCTGCTGCATGATAATTGTTACTGTCATATGCCTTTCCCACTGTTCTTTCTCCTGATGTTGCATCATGGATGAGAAACACCAAATGGGGTTTTGATTTACATTGCAGGTGTCAAGAGCAAGTCAAATTTAATCTAGACAGCTAAAATATAGATAAAATGTTTTATCTGCTGGCTCCAAGGGGGAAAACTGATGAAATTTTGCAATGCAGCGCTCGCGATTGGCAGAATTAATTGGTGCATTACAAATTCAAAAGACGTTGATGCTTAATAATGACATTTTGATGCAGGGGTAGATTTCCAGCAGAAAACCAGGGAAAAGAACAGGAAAGATCAAAGGCAGGCAGCTTGAAGAACAAGAACAAGCCAACGAGCTTCAGTGATCAAGAAACCGAGCAAGAAGATGATAAGAGAGAAAGAGAGAGCCTCCTAACACAACATTTCAAATTGAATCTTTCGAAAAGCTATTAAAATGGATCTAACCAACAAATTCAATAGAGTGGATCTTTCATAACTTTGAATCAGGCTGCAAACAGATCAAGTCAAACCAGGCATTGCCAACTCAATTTGAGCTAGAGTTTGTCAAGTTGGATTTTGTTCATTGTAGTTTACGACAGTATATGAAAACAAAATCTCCAAAAGTGACGATTTTGAGTGATTCTACATTCATCAATACATTCTGAATGTCAAAGTAGAAGCGTGGGGCCAAAGCTAGCAAGGCGAAGCACTGCACCACCTTTTCCTTGAAGCGAAGTTGAGTTTCCTGTTGGAATTGTCAAACACTCAAAAGTCCTTGAAAAATGCAAAACTGCCTACTAACTTTTAGAATTAAATTTCAAGTTTAATTTATTAAAATACTAACTTTGGGGATGGTATATTTTAATAACTAGTTTTTTTAACTTGTATAATGTACGTGATTTTTATTAAAATTTTCATAATTTTAAAATTATTTTTTAATTATTTATATAATATATATTAATATTTATTTATAAATATTAAATTACAATTAAATGATAATTTATACATAATATATTATAAATGATTTTATTCATCTAACAAAAATCTAAATCTTTTTAATTTTTCAAGAATTATAAAAATCTATTTTTTCATTAAAATTTTTTTTTCAATTTATTTGTTAAATACTAAAAATTTCGTTATCTATTTTTTTTGTTTGATAAAAAATCAAGAATCAATATTTAAATAGTTAAAATTAATAATTATTTTTATCATAATATTGATTAAGAGGTATGTATATTTGATTGAACAATAAATCACAGTTATTAGTTTTGTTATAATAATTTGCTTTTTATTAATTCTTATTTTGACACAAATATATTGAGCTAATAATTATTTCTATATGATAAAAGGAAAACAATAATGCTTTATGTTATGCTATAACTTTTTTTTTTGAAATATTTTTTTATTTTTAATAATTTTTAACATAATTGATAAGAATTTTTGTGAGTTAGATATAGTAGTGATCCTCATTCTTCTCATATCATTCATTGTAAACAAAGAAATTTAATAATAAAAAGCATAACAAAAGAAAATAGAAAATATAAATTTACATATTAATTTATCAAGATTAAATATACACAATAATAAAAACCAAATATGTTAATAAATTAACAGATTATAAAAACATTTAAGAAATGAATAAAACAAAAAAATATATAATACAAAAAGTTAATTATAATCAATCTAAGCAAAATTAAAAAAAGTTATGGACTAAAGAGAAATAAATAAATTGACCAAATATATAATATAAAAATATTTGAATTAGAACATAAATAAAATATTATATTTGTTTTCAAAGAAAAAAATATTTTTATCTAATTTTTTTAATCAACATTTAAATATCTCATATTTTCATATAAATATATAAGCTTTTATTACTTTAAAAATATATATTTTCTGGTCAATAATTCATTAACTTATCTAAAAGTATTAAATTTTAATAATTTATAAAATAATTTTTAATTTTTGATAAATTTTGATTTGAATTTAAATAATTATCTAAAAATATTAAATTTAAATAATTTATTAAATAGAATTATTTGGTAAAAAATAAAATTTTATTAAGTATATATATATATTTGAAACTGTCATTAAATTTAAAAAGAAAAGATAAATTATGATTTAATATATTTGAATTTAAATCTTATGCAAACATTTCAATTTTAGATAGATATTAATTTCAATTTAAATAATTATCTAAAATATTTAATTTAAATATTTATTAAAAAATTTTATATGATAAATAAAATAATATAAATATTATCTTATGTGTTATTAAAAAAGATTATCCACTTAAATATTTATATAAATAGTTTTGATTATTTAATCTTGTATGTTGTAATATAATATATATATATATATATATATGATTAAAAATATTTCATAAAAAAAGTTAAAGTAATTTTAATTTTAATTCAGGATAAAAAACCGACTTTGGGGCAGTAGAAAATAATAAAAAAGAAAATTAAACCAATTACTTGAACAGTAACAGTATCGGTTAGTAAGTTACTGGGGCGCACGGCTTCCGCACGCTTACGTACACTTTTGGCTCTGCTGAAAAGAAAGAATTTTTTGTTCTCATTTTTGCGATCAGTGAGGAAAAGAAAGAGTAAAGAGTAAAGAGAAAATGTCCGGAGAGATTGAAGAAGACGAGGGACGACGTCGTCAAAGGAAGCTTGAAGAAGCTGTTGAAGTCAAATCCCTTCGCCGTATTATTAGTGCCTACCTCAAGTACGTTTTCCAGTTCTCTCTCTCGCTTTTTCTTATTATTATTTTTGTTTGCCTTTTTTTTTTCTCCCGGGAATCCTCGATTAAATTTGATTAGATTCATTTTTTTTGTTTTAATTTTTTAGGAAAAAAGAGTAGCAAAAAAATAATAATAAATTTTTTAGTGTAGTTTTTGTTTTTGAATTTTGGATACAGTTTCATCATAGTGAAGTATAATCCAATGCAAAATATAAAATAAAAATTGAATTTTAATTTAAACTGAAAATGATTAGCATGAAAGAATGGATTAATTTGTGGTACTTAAAGCTTAAAGTGAAGGTGAGACTGGGATATTGTTGATTATTGTGATTTGAAGCATTTTCTTGTAAATATATTGTTTTCCATTACAATGGGTATGCATATTTACACTCCCTTTGGTAGGAAGAAAAGAAAAAGTTTTAATCTAATGGTTGAGATACAAAATAGCACACCTTGTTAGGAATCTTAACCATTGGATTAAAAAGTTTTTCATCCTTTCCCCTTTCTATTCTTCCTATCAAACATAGCATAATTAGTTTACTAGTTATTTAATATACAAATTCTGTTGTTATTATTCTACATTTGCTTTTGGTTGCGAAACTCTGCTTCTTTTAGCCTCTTTTAGGTTGTTGCTTTTGCTGTTTTGCCACTTGCTAATTGTTATTTGCTTGTTACTTCTTAAAAAAAAAAAAAAAAGTTCTAAAAGGAAAAAAGAAATTATATATCGGATTAAACGTGACTTAACATAAGACAATTAAAACATGATTGTTTTATATAAAACTAAGAAAGTTATGCACTGCCAATGCATAGAATAAGAGTCCTAAAAGCAAAATCAATAAATTATACAATAGCTTTTAATTTTCCAAAAAAAAGTTATGTGCTTTAATATTTCAAATGCACTTTTTACCTTGTTTCCAGAGCTAAATCAAGTGTTAAAGGAATAACCAAATCTTAAATGACAAAGAGGGTTCTGTCATTCCTGACCACATAAACTATCAATGATCTCTACCAATAGACAGTTTCTAACTTTCTATCCCAACCCTCTTTCTCTTATCAATGACATTTTTCCTATTCTTGCGTGGACAATTTATGCAGTTATCCCGAGGCTGCAGAAGAGGATGTCAGAAGATATGAAAGATCTTTTAAGAAGCTTCCACCTGCTCACAAGGTGCTCCCTCTTGCTTGACTAATTGTTGAATTTACTTTTTGCTGCAACTGATCTCTAGAAAATTGAATACTGTTGACTGTTATCTTTTACAGCTATAACGTTCTCAAGACCTTGTTCATTATGATGATTAGCCATTATATTTTGAGAAAAAAAGGGAATCTAAAATGATAGCACCTTTCTTTGTTAAATACTGGGATTAGGTCTTTTTAGTTGTTAAGGAGGTGTAACCCTTACCTATGACTCTAAAGCAAACCAAATAGGAAATTTTATTGAAATTGACATTAATAAATCCTTTTGAGAATTGAGCTCGTGAGCTTCACATTTAGACAACTGTAGTGATGGATACAAGAATTTTCTTTTAGGAAACATTTGATAAATGTGCTGCCATGGCTCAGAACCTGAGGAAAGTGCTTGGGACAGCTTGGTGTAACATTCAATCTAGCCATAACTGACACTTCCATAATTTCATGCATTGAGGATGAAAATGTGCCTCCCTATTGCTATGAAGTAAAGAGAGCTTGGCTGTTGTCTTAATTGCTGCTGTTGTCAAGGGTGACAGCAAAGGGTATTTTTGAACTCAACAAGAGAAAACTGAAAATTAGGATACTTATCCTGAATGATGTCATGGTTTAAGGGGAAGATTCTTGCTACAATGCTAATTGTCAAAAAAAGGGGGGGAGGGGAAGCAAGAAGGAGAAAGAGGAAATGTTTGAGTAATTTCCTTAATTGGTGTAAGAAAATAGCCAGGCATGCCTATGGAGAATAAATGTCTATGTATCTGTCTCAGTATCCCAATTGGGTTTTTGCCATTTGTTTCGTCATACTTTACATGAAACATTGCTTGGAAATGTATATAATACTGTCATTTAACATTCTTATATGCTGAAAATCTTCAGTAAAACAGCAACTTTTTGTGAAAAGCTGTTCTCCTCTAAAATGGTTACCTTCCTTATCCTTGCTTTTTTAAGACCTCAATTTGTTTTTGTACTTTTCAGGCTTTATTGCCCCACTATCCTTCAAAGTTCCAAAGTCTGAGAAGGTAATTTTCTATTTACTTGCTTTTTGTGGTTTAATAATCTGGTTTCAGTTTATGTTGCCTTAATTGTGAAAAGTTGCTAAATCTTGACATGAAACTTATTTTGATTGGTTACTCTAAATTATACCTCACTGAAACCTTTGCAAAAGTACAAGGACTAGATTTGCTTCTTTTAAACAATTTGTACGAGTGCAAGGACTACATTCATACTTAAACCTTTTAGGGAAAAGAAAACTGTTGTGTGGTGTGTCCCAATTAAAATCTGTTTCGACACCTTGACAAATTATAATTTCTTGCATTTATTGCTGCAGGTGTATTTCTATGAATGCATATTTCATATTTAACATGCTTCAGGTGCGTCACAGTACATTTCTATTTCTCCACTAGTTCACTCTTTCTGAAGAGGTGAGATAATTTAGAAGAATATATACTTGGCTTGGAATGCTATAATAATTATTTATTTTTTTGGCAGGCATTTGAACCTCCTTTAGACATGAGCCAGGATGTGGATATTTGTGAGGATTCACATCTAGAAACCTTTGGAATTGAGCATTGCCACTCTGAGGAGGGAAATGCTTCCTCTTGTCAGTCTGCATCAACCGGTGGAAGAATGTGTTGTTCCAACCATGCTCAAGCTTGTTCTCAGGAAAGAAGCAGCATAATGAGCAATCCAACAGCAGATGTGACTACTCATGAGCTCTTTGCAACATATAATTAACTGTATTTGCTTGTTTAATGGATAATAAATATCCAAACTCCTACATATGATTGGTTCTTAATTTGTTTCTTTTTCATTTAGAAATTTGACTTTTGTAGATAGCTGCAGGAGGTGCAAAGTGAACATCAACATGAGCCCATTTCTGGAAGCTGCGCTGGAGAAGTGGGAAATAAGAAAGATATAGTTGAATGTTGTGGAATTGATGTCGCTGATTCTAATGGGAATGTAATACTTTTTTTATTCTTTTCATACTGTTTATCTTTCACCTAGAAAAACGAGGTGTTGGATGTTGAATAGATGAAAATTCAGTTTTGTATTTGTAAACAAGTGCTTAAAGATGCAACAAGTTAATTAGCTGTGTTGTTTGTGCCCCCCCCCCAAAAAAAAAAGGGCAATGCCTTCTGATATATCATGGTTTCTTTCCGGCTGAGCATTGGCTCAACTGGTTGGTGCATGATTCTCTACTCGAAGAGTAAGATTCAAATATCCCCTTCTACAAATAAAACATGATTTCTTTCCCAAAATTTCCATAATTACATATTTCTTTGATATTTAGGGCTAGAAACTTTATGCTGCTTTACTGTCTATGTCCCCCACCCCATCCATTCCCCTTTTCTTTTTTCTTCCTATTTTATGAGACCTGTAAGCCATTTTTTTGTGTGTATAAACTTGGCTTTGTCTTGAATAGTTACTGTTAATTTAAACAAAATGCTTTGGTGCAATGCATACAAGTGTTAATGCATACAAGTGTTAATACAGACAGAACTTTGGTGATCATTGATGGGAAGTTTCCCTTTCTAGAGGGAAATAAAGATTAAAAACGAATTTATAATTTCTTAACTACTATCTGGAGACAAGTTGAGGCTGGATATATGAGAGATGATGAGGGCTGCACGGAGCCCTTCATTGATGTCTTATCAAAAGATGTCTTATTCTAATGCTTTGTTCTTTCCCTCTCATGTGTTTTTGCCAATTTGTTGGTTGGTAATTTCTGAAACACAGAATACTGCAATGTTGCTGTATTTGAAGAAGCGAAAGAAAGTAACAGCAATGATATTTTAACTTCCTTCCAATTCTTGTTTTTTGGTGGATTCAGAAACAAGAATTCCATGCACTTTTTTGTCACCAATGTCTATAATTTTTTCAAGTTTGATATAAATCTATTTGTTGTTTGCTATTCTATCCTAACTATCACTGTCTGTCTGATATTAAATTCAGGTTTTTTCATATCCACATGACTGGTTGGATCCATCATTGCAGTTGAATGTTCCATTGGTTGATGTTGATAAGGTATGTTGGTGCTCTTGCTGTTGATTGTTGAATTGAATTGTTAGTCTGAAGAATTCTTGCACAACCTCATCTTAATTCATTGGTTTTATCTTATGGGGATAAGGTTTTATAATATAGACTTATTCTGACTTGCACTTTGCTGCCATTAGTAAGAAATTTGGATTTGGAATGTTTAGCATTAAATAGGTTTAGTTGTCTGCAGGAAGGGAATAATTTTGAGAAAATCTTTGATAAATTGATTTGTTCTGGATAAATGATTTGTTTGTGATTACAGTTGTTGTTGGAGAAAAGTAGAACCTTAGAAGTCTAAACATTAATACTTTGATTGGTACTTCTTTTCTTTTAGTTAAACTTTGATTGCTGCTTTTTGTAGAGTTCACATAAGGATATAGCATGAGACTTGCCTCCTTCCATTTGGGTTTGAAACTGGGAGTAGCAAATTTTATAGGCTTTTTTTTTTTTTTACCTTAAACAGTTTAGTTAAAGTCAATTTTACATGATATTGTGGTTCCTGTCTTGGTCCACTTAGGAGTTCCAGCGCCATGCTTTCTGCTAGATTAGTGAGTTCATATGTTTAGAAGGGTTTCTTCTTTCAGTCCGTTATAGTGGATTGCTTTCCTCTTTAACACCTTAGTTTGTAGATAGTGGCATAGCACAGTGCTTTTTGTGACTGAATCACAGTTTGTTTTGTTTAAAACTTCAATCGGCATCTTCAATGTCACAATGATGGCAACCCACCAGCTAGGCCTATTTAAGAATCAATTGACTTATTTAGTATGGACTTGTTGCACATGTTATTAATGAGATAAAATATACAGAAAGATTGTAGTAAATTAGTAAATGTGATCAGTTTTTTGGGGTATTTCTAGATCAGTAATGTCTTTACTTTTGTTTCTGCTTTTTTAATGTTCTATAAACTAACTGTGTTTACACAAAAAGTGTTTTAGTTCATGTCTAATTCTCTTATTTCTTCAGGTCCGTTGTATAATAAGGAATATTGCTAGAGATTGGGCAGCAGAGGTATTGCTTTTTCTATTTATTTTAATTGATTTTCAGTTTTGGAGTCATCGTGGATGATTTCAGGACAAGCTTGTTTAAGTTCCTTTCTGTGTGGTTCTTTTGACATCGGTGGAATTATTACTTTGTTACAGGGAGAGAGAGAACGTGATCAGTGCTACAAGCCCATTCTTGAAGAACTGGACACCCTATTTCCCAATCGCTGTAAGGAGAGGTACATTCTTCCTCTGATTTGTTCCTTTGGACGTAGTCCTGTCATACACCTCAAAACTTCTTGCTTTTTTCTTATTTAGTCCTGTCATACACTGCAAAACTTCTTGCTTTTTTCTTATCTAATGATTGTGATGATAGCATTAATTTTCAATTGGTGTGCAAATGCATTTTGTTTTCTGAGTGTAGCAAACCATTAATATTGTGGTTATTTTGGGAGTAGTATTTTGATAGACAGCAAACTTCCTGGTTGTTTAAGAATCTAATGACTGTGATGATAAATTATTGTCATTTGGTATGTGACTGTGTTCTGTTTTACTGGCGTGGTAAAACCATATATTTTGTTATAATAGCCCTCCTGCATGTTTGGTTCCTGGTGCTGGACTTGGTCGGCTAGCCCTAGAGATTTCATGCCTTGGTATGTATTTTATGTCAACTTGTTATCGCTTTGACTTGACAGGGACTACTATTATGTTTAACATTTCTCATTTTATAAAACAGGTTTCATAAGTCAGGGAAATGAATTTTCATACTACATGATGATATCTTCAAGTTTTATTCTTAATCAGTAAGAACTTTACCTCTCTAGTGCATTTATGCATACTAGTGCCTCTAGGTGCAGATGGAGTTTCTGCTACATCTATCCTCTTCATTCTCCCAAGGGGCATAAACTGCCCTGCATTATTTATTTGTTCTATTTATTTTTCCAGTACTGTAACAACTGGACAATGGACAATATATCCTTGGATCCACAGCAATTGCAATTCACTTTCAGAGAATGATCAACTTCGTCCAGTATCAATACCAGATATTCATCCGGCGAGGTATTAAGCCATTGTTTGCTTCTGTGTTTCCCCTTAAATGCTTTACATGTTCATGTTATTTACTTGTCTTGAACCTGTTCTGTGCAATATGCCTTACAAGGCTTGCTTTTTCAACTCCAGTGCTTGGGAGTTGCTTTTTTCCATGATGGTCAATTGTTGATTTATTTTCAATTTTTATTCTTTATGAAACTTCTAGTGGAAGAAAATGATCTATATTATCAAGCCTATGAGTAGCAAAGGCTTAGTCTATTGTTTATAAACCTATCAGCCTACAAAAACTTTAATGGACAAATCTTTATATTGCTGCTTATAAAACTTGTTGAGTCAGTTGATGTATTTATTTTTTCCACAATATTTATTGGACTTTCATTTCTCAGTTCCCATTGGCTTTTCTGGTTGCTGGCAGTGCAGGGATTACTGAAGGTTTTTCTATGTGTGGTGGGGATTTTGTTGAAGTCTACAATGACTCCAGCCAGATTGGTAAAACTACTGTCACTTACTAGGTCTATGACTTCTTTTCCCTACAACCTTTTGTTCCCTACATATTGTAATTGTCGTTGTATTGAATAAAAATGTTGTGCTGTATGGTGCTAATTAATTAGGCTAACTAAAATAATATATATATATATATATATATATAGTAGAAAACTTTTCTTTAAGACTGAGGCATAGTAGGACCACTGTCCTCAAAACTGATTGAAATGGTACCATAACATAGGTCATTTTGTGGCTGACAATTATCCTTTAGGTTTGCAATCTATCTTCTTATTGATACTCATCTAATGATGATGCTAATCTGTGAATAAAGGAGATTGCCATGAGTTTGCTACATTCCACGTGAGGACTGCAGTATGGGAATTTTTTTCATGTATATATTGATTCAATGAACCTAATTTCCAATATAAGCTTAGCTCTTTGTAGTTAAGTCCAGTTTAATTTTTCTCATCCCAATGTTGATAGAAGAAAGTTGCATGTTCTGAGATTCTTCTTGAATATTCTGTAAAACATATTCATAGCATAGCATCCAATATTAGAGTAGGTTCATATCCTTTCCTTCACCATGAGTTGATGTCAAAGCCAATGTAAATATTGGTTTTGTGTGTCATTTGTATCTAGTTTCTTGGAGTAGAACCAACTAAAGATGGACTAGCAAAGGTGTGTGGTAAACTTACCACCCAAGAATTGACTCCATATATAGTTTAGAGAAGTGCATGTAATTATATGCAAGTTTAATGCATGCATATTTTTAGCATTTGTATGCAGATTTTAAGGTTATCTCTATTTATGGAGTGCTCCTATTTGTTAATCTCTATTTTACTTAATCAGAAGAGCCCTATGTAACCAAACTTTTAAATGCCTTTGGTTTTGTTTGCAATCAGTTGTTTTTGACTTTTGGTTCATGAAGTGACTATGAATAACCTATGTGAATGAAATTAGGTACAAATCTCTGAAATGGACATGTGTATGAGTAAAGTTTGTTCTATCGTTCCTAAGTTTTCTCGAAATTTGGTGTGAATGTTGGATGTAGGTATATGTCTGGCACATTTGCTTTCAATTGCTCCTAAGATTTCCCTTATATTTGGAGGTTCATATTCTCTTATCCATACATACTTTGAGGTGACAGATATGAATCCGATGTGGGTCCTCAAAGAAAAATGAGTGGGACCAACATAGTTAACAAAGTTGACCAAAACCAAACTGATTGCTACCCTGTGCTAAAAATATTCTTATCACTCCATGGATACAAATCATACTGTGTAGTTTTTGAAGCTAGGAATTACATGAACCTGATTTAAGTTTGTACTCAGAGCAAAGTACATATTCTCGGTATGGTAGCCTGAGGTTTACTGCTTTTGATGCATTCTTACTTGTATGAAATGTTTGTTATATTTTTGCATTGCTATCAGTGAGTTTAGGTTGAAAATACAATTCTAATTTGCAATGCTCACTTTCTCGTAGAGATGCTGATCTATATGTATATTAGCTGTACCATATATGTATATCAGATTGCTAAACCTAATGGAGTGTATTTATGCTGTCTGCAGGCGCCTGGGATGCTGTTGTGACTTGTTTCTTTATTGACACAGCACACAACATCATCGAGTACATTGAAATCATATCAAGAATTTTGAAGGAGGGGGGAGTGAGTTCCTTAATTGAATACTGTTTATTCTGTTTCCTTCAGTTATATTCATTTTATCTTTCGCATTACTTCTGGATTGGCTTAAACAGTTGGTTGGATGACAGGTTTGGATAAACTTTGGACCTCTACTGTATCACTTCGCAGACATGTATGGGCAGGAAGATGTAAGTTCTATTGCAAGCACTTCTATGCCAAAGCACACTTATTGGCTGATATTATTGTTGCTCATCTCACCTCACCTATCTTCCTCCCTTACCCCTTTTGCTCGCTTTTTCCTCCTTTTAGGAGATGTCAATTGAGTTGAGTTTGGAAGATGTAAAGAAGATTGCTTTCCATTATGGGTTTCATTTGAAGGTAACATTCACACCCTCCTTTTCATTCTTCTTTGTCCCTTAAAATTCACTTAGTTTTGGCCAAGTACATCTTGCAGCAGCTATGATTGATAAAGTAACATATTCATGACTGCAGAAAGAACAGACCATTGAAACAACCTATACCACAAATCCTCGATCCATGATGCAAGTAAGTTCTTAAACCCTGTTCTTTCGTAAATTCCCATTTTCTTCACCTTCTATCTTATTAAATCTAAATAGAAATGCCTCTCTTCTTCCTGTGTCGATGCCATGTTAATATGAATGCATATTGTAATCTGTATATCTCCGTCAAAGGGAGTATAATTTCAAAATCTTCTCATAATGAAACATCAGGCTTTCATGTTCTTAATCGAACAGTTCATCAGTGCCTCTTTGCCTATGCTCACATGCGTTTAGCTGGTCGATCACTTGCCTATCCAAGACGCCAAGAAACATCATACCCGAGTGTTGCGCTTATATGTTGCTAGAACCAGCTGTCTATTTTTTGATAATGCCATTTATACTGTTAATACAGTTAAATATAGAAGTTTGTGGGAGTTAATATGGAAATCTGGAAATTTTAAACACAATATAGTGAAACGTTATAAAAACAATAAAAAAGAAAATTTCACAAAAGCAATACGATTTAAAATTTTAACAAAAATTGTATATAGATTTGACGAAAAAAATGTTTTATGTTTGATGTGTCGTTATGAATTGCGATACGATAATTTTTATATTTTATACATACTAAATACAAAATAGACATATAGATATACAAATTGTTAGGTTTACTCACAGTGTCCTGATTACAATGTTCGTTGCAGAACCATTACCATGCTGCATTTTGGACAATGCAAAAGAAAAGAACTTCCACAACATAGCATGGGAAAGATGATATGAATTCCTGTATTACTATACTCCAGGTCCTGCCCCTCTTTTTTTTTTTTTTTTAATTTCCACTTTCATGATGCCTCTGGCCAAACTGGGGTTAGAAAGAATAAGATGGAGAAAGTTAAGAAAGTTGAATGATCTTTATTATTATTTTTAATGCTTTGTTTTTTTGTTTGTTTGTATTTTTTTAAAAAAATTTTATTATAGATTTTAGGATTTACTTGAATTATTTTCAAGTAAGTTGTAGTATAGACAAATCCATGATTTTTCTTTTTTTTTCTTGGAAAATTGCAATGATTGGAATTATTTTCGAAAAAAAAAAGTGAACTTTGAGAAACCAAATAGTACATTAAAATGTAACAAAACTTGAAAATATGCATTAGGAGATCAATTAGGCATGTCTTTGATTACCTCAAAAACAACTTCATAAGATTTTCAATTTTTCTTGTACCCATATGATATAAATAAGGAAGTTAATAATTAATTTTTTGAAGAAAATAAAACTAATAAATTAATATAAATATTGAAGTGAAACATGGGTCAAAGATATATATCTATTTAATGAATTTAAAATCTTTACCGTTAATATATAAGATAATAATTCAAATTTATTAAAATTTGTTACAATGAAAAGCAATTTTCTTATTTCAATATTCTCATTAAATTTGTAAAAATTTTCTTATTTAAATAATCTCATAGTTTTGGATGTAATTTACTTCTTATAATTCTTTTACATATAATTTAGGCTAATATTTTTTAATTTTTAATCTATCTTTAAACTCAATTTCTTTTTACTTAATTAATATAAGAAAAAACATGATTGGTTTAAGTCTTTTTTAACCCACAACTTTTAAGAGTCTAATGAACAAGTATTTCTTTCTTTTTTTTTTTTTTTGAAAATTTTAATTTATTTTTATTCTCAACTCGTATCTATTTAATTAATTTGAGAAAACATTATTAACCTAAGTTTTATTTTAACTCTTAATTTTTAAAAATCTAACAACCATATGTATCATTTAAATTAATATTCAATTGACATATAAAATAAATTATTAAATTTGATATATAAATTAACAAACAACCGATAAATTATATGATATAATTAAATAATATTTAATATGAAGTTAAATTTACATATAATAAAATTTGAATTTTAAATTTTAAAACTACATTCTTGTTACCATGAAAACTTGTTACCTCAAAATTTTTACTTGAAAATTGTAAATTTTAACAATTTGGGTATTCTATCAACAAAAAATATGTTTACGAGAGAGAAAAGAAAAAGCTTATGGTATAAGATTATTAAGACAAAAATAACATTTAGTAATTATATAAATAATTATAAATTTGGTGACGAGAAACAAAAGAAAAAAGAATATAACTGTGGGGGATGAAGCTTTACTTTTGTAATATGCTTCGTATTTCTTTTTTTGTTTTTATATATTAATGGTTTCTATCTGTCTCATCAGTCATCACCGTCATTTTCTCAGCGTGCACATGTGTCTCTCCTCAATCTCGGCGTGCACTCAAAAACACACAAAATTAATCAAATCCCACATCCTTTTTTAATTAAAAAAAAAAAACCCCAAAACCAAACAATGCCCCCTTTCTTCCCCATTTCTTCGATCTCTCTCCCTCTCTCCGTCTCTCTCTGAGAGAGATTTCCTTCTATCTTCTACCTTCCCTAGCCTAAGTAAAAACCCTCCTAATCCCCCTTAATTTACACAACTTGCCGCTCTTCCTACCCGTATGCCTCCAACTTCATTGAAAAAATCCCGCAAACCCTATCTTTATTTTTCGAACTTTTATTTTTCTTCTTCTTCTTCTGCTGCTGCTGTATCTAGGGTTTTCTTTTTAGGTTGGTTTTGTAAAGTATGGAGAGATCCGATGGCAAACCTCCCTACAACCTCTCTCAAACTTCCTCAGGTTTTTTTTTTCCTTCATTTTTGTTTTCAATCCTTTCATTTGTTTATTTTCTTTTTTCTTTTTTTTATGGATTTTTCCCTTTTACTTAATAGCATGTTTCTATGATGCGAAAGAAAATAAATTTCGTTGGAAAATTTGGACCTTTACTTCATTTTCTCAGTTACCAAACGGGTCTTAACTGTTAACCACTAGCTTTATTGTCTTTGCTTGATTACTTGTTTACCAAAGCTTTGTTTTTTTTTTCTTCCTATTTTGTTAGTTTTAATTCTGGGGCTTGCTTTTAGCGATTTTGTTTTTTCTTCTATTTCTTGCGATTTGATGGTTTCTTAAGCTGTATTATGTTGATTGATCGGTTCTATGGTTTTATTTAATTGCTAATTAGTTAGTGATTTCACAGATAATGCGCTTTTGATGATCCCAGTACGAATTTTTTGGGTCAACATGCTATGGAAGAGTGGAGTTGGGGGTCTAGAAGATGGTGAAGAGGATGCTCCTGTGTTTGCATCTGCTGAAGTGACGAGTATCATTTGTTTGATAGAGGAAGGTAGGTTTTCATCCCTTTGGTTTGCCCAGTTGCTGCGAATCCTCGGTTTCTTGCCGCTGAACCTTCGGGCATTTGCTTGTAGCTAGTACTACCTTTTCATTCCATTATGTGATAATATTTTGTTATGTGCCCCTAAAAAGTACTTTTGTTGGAGTTTCTTTGACCATAAAAATTTTTTTCATGGTGTTTGTTGGCCTTTAATTTCTTATTGGTCAACTTGAGCTGTAGTCTAAGTTGTTTCATAACTTAACATGTGTCATATTAACACTTGGCAATTGGAACTTACCTTATTATACTTTGCAGCTTTAATTTAAAGTATGAATACTATCTTTGAATGATAAAAAGTTCTATTTCTTGGTCATTTTGGAAATTAAATTTTTAGAATCTTAATAAAAGATTACGCCTGTCAGTTTGAAATTTCAAAATTGCTACTTATTTAAAGTAGTCAGACAAAAATTAGGTTTTAAGGATTGAAATTTTTAAAATTGCAACTTATTTAAGGTAGTGAGAAAACAATTAGGTTTCAAGGGTTCCTCACTAAAATTTTAAAATGCCTATAAGAAGATTATGCTTATCGGTTTGAAATTTCTAAATTGCTACTTATTTAAGGTTGTTGGACGATAATTGGGTTTCAAAGCTTCCTTGGTATGTGTTCCAAATTTTGTTGTTCAAGTGAAGGGAGTTGTTGATTTGAAATTTAGTTATGTTCTCTATCCATTTGACCCTTTGGTAAATGTGTGATCAATTTGAGGACATTAAGATGCAGGAAAGCATCTTACCATTTATATTTATTCTACAAGCATGTCCTTGTAAAAGCATCATGATTGTATGTTGAAATTTGAAATTAAGGGTAATATGGGATAGAAAAAGTAGTTGCTTTAATTGTTGACAAGGGGTACCCTAAAGCAGAAATATGCACTCATAAAATAAAGCTTTAACAGAACATATGATTCCTATATTTATATTGTCATACTTCAAGTGAAGCACTTATTGTATTAGCTTTCTGCTGCATTTTGTTCATGCTGTGAAGGAATTTATGCCATTGTTTTTTGCAGTCATGCACATTGATTTTATTTTGTCTTATTTTTAATTTTTTTGTTGATATTGCTTTCATCCCTTCTGGTTTATGAAGTAATAAATCATCTGCTAAACTCAATCTTGATTTCATCTTTCATCTTTATGGATTTTGAAATAAGACTATTTCAGCTCTAATTTTCCTTTTTTCATTTGCAGGTTGTAGGTTTAGGATCTTTATCTGATATGGATGATCTGGCTAGTACTTTTGCAAAGGTCAATTTTTTAATTTATAAATGTTGCAGTGTGATGAATGCCAATAGTTAACATTTCTCACTGACTGTTGCTTATAAGATTTGATATGCTTGTTTCTTGAGTTTTTGATGGCCTTTATATTTAATTGATCTTTTCGCGGAAATGTTTGGATTTTTGTTTTTGTTTTATGTTTAGTTATATAACATTGACTTGGTTCTGTATTGCGTAGAGAAGTTTTTGTTAAAAATTATGGCTTGACTTTTAGTCAGGAATGCCAATTGTGGGTAGTGTGTGATCTATGCATAATTTTCTTGCATAACGAATGGATCAATAATGTATTATGATGTGAACTCTAGATAATTAAAAACTTATCAAATATGATTTGTGATCTGGACTGTTACTAATCATACCCAAAGTTTTAGACATTAGAAAAAACTAGAAGAAGATTGTTGGATGTCTATTTTTTTTCCATTGATCAATTATAACTAACAGGACTGTTTTTGATATGTTAATAATTAAAACTAATTGAGTGAGACTATTACTAATAATAATCCAAAGTTTTAGGCATTAGAAAAATCTAAAAGAAGATTCTCTGATGTGGTTTCCTTTGGATGATCTCATAACTAAAGGGACTTTTTCTATATATTAATTGTATGTGAAAGGAATTATATTAAAAAAAATGTCAAAGGAAGATGAACTGAAGTTGTTTTGTCTCTTCACTTGTGGCACTGTTAATTGAGCTTGTACGTTTGCTCCAAGCATGCATTGTATAGCTATTTCCTTATCTTGTTCTCATTGTAATAGTAGTTATTTAATGTCTAATTTAGAATGATGAAAATTTTATTTTATTTTTGAAATAAGAATAATAAAGAGATTGGGTAGGATTAAAAGCCCTTAGTTGTAGGCAGATGATTTAATCCTTGTGAACCATAGGTCCCACCTTGACCTTGCTGGATGTTCATATGACTACTTAGTAAAGTAATCCTTCCTCTCCCCAACAATTGTGGGTTAAGATGTGAAAGCTCTTTTCTCCTTGTATGAACAAGCGTAGAGTGAAAGAGGGGAGTTCAGAATCAATGTTTTAAAAAAGATAACCTTTTCATTATCATTTTTTTTTTGTTTTCTAAAGACTGCCTTGAAGACCATTGTTTTACCCCAATGATGGAAGATTGAATATCTTGGTATGCATGTAATTATGTAATTCTCCAGATGCAGATATTTGTTTATTTTCTTTTCTCTTGCTGCAGTTGCTGTTTTGTTTTTGTTGTCCTTTCATGGTGATTGGATCTTAATATTTTATCTTTTTTTTTTTTTTCACAGTTGAATAGGGTTGTTACAGGACCAAGAAATCCAGGAGTTATTGGTGATAGATCTGGATCTTATTCAAGGGAAAGTGAGTAGAACTATGCCTTTATATTGTGGTTATAATCTTGATTAATGAATGAAAGAGGTAATATTGATTGATATTTGAAAAACTGTAAAATTTTTTATTCCACTTTTTTACTTGCAACTCTTGCTCAAGCACTTCTCACCCCTTTCCCTAGATTCAAGAT